ATCCAATCCGCCGGGAAATTGGGAGGCACTTCTATTACTTGACGATATACAAAGAAAACGAGCACACAGCTTACGCATCGGAATCCTCTGCAGAGGGAATTGCCTCAGGCATGTAGATCTTGTGACAGGTGAGTGCTCCGGATTCCATCGTGGATGAGAAATACTTGTGCATGTATCAATCGCCACTGTATCAATTGTCCACTCCTTCATTCATCACCTGTCGCAAAGCACACAGGCAATCGCAAGCCCAACTCAACGGCTAATAGAACTGTTGGAGGAGTCTATCAGGCACTCTCATTAATGGATCGAGCGATAATTGTTCAGTGGGATTCAGATGTTGCAAAATCCGCAGGCAATATTTGATTCATGTGTGCACATGGTTCCTTACCTCTGGATGCAATCAGGAGAATCTGCTGCAGTGTACATCTGTTACTTGTTTATGTGTATCTTAAAAGAGGAATGGTCTGTTAGTCGGCGCACATGACTGAGAACTTACAATTTGCAACTCTTCCAGTACCTAATTTTGCGGATCTGCCCCCGATGACCCGCAACACGACTCAGACCTGAGGGCCCGCACACAGGTGACAAATATTCCCCAAAAAGATCTCTAGCCCTGAGCCCTAACAGCGCCTAATCCTAAAGGATTTTATCACCATTTTATCACCATATTATCACCATATCGGTGTCTTTGGTGACAAAGACGGCGCCCTGTCGGAGGCTACTTTCGACAACGGTAGCTTGGAGATAGTCTGTTTGAAGAACGGATTGATTCTCCTTTCAGAGGCAGCAAGTGGAATAATGCGGTCTGCTTCTTGCGTAGGCGAATGCCCCTCGCCGTCACCGGACAAGAAGACGAGATTTGACGAAGGTGTGAGGGCGGCAGGCGAGAAGAACATCACCAGTGAAAACTTTGCAAAAGGAAGCGAATTTGGCCTGGATGGCTGACGTATTTTTGGTTTACCTCTCTTTTAGATCATTTCACAGGCATCATTGCAAGCCTTGCACATGCATGTGTATGTTCGTTGTTACCTTAAATCATTCCTGAAATCTTTTAATTTTCATTATTCGCTGGGTGAATATATTGCATTTTCGTGTATAAAATAGAGTACACTCAGTTCACATGCATAGAATGGTATGCATCTGTGAACTGTGTTGCTTGGAAGCTCGATTCACTGTTGGTCCGGATTCGAAGCAGCTGCAAGGCTCCTAGCCACAAAATCCGTTTATTCCATGATCTCCAATGTCAAAACCTGAACTTAACGTTGAAAGATCAGCGCAACTAACGGTGTATACCAGAGTTTATACCACTCCCTACTGGAGGGCAAGGCAGACAGGGCTTTGGATGACGCTGACGTGACTGGCCCCCTGTTGGAGCCGGCCGGCTCCGTCGCGTCAGAGGACACAGAGACATCTGTGGTTTCCATTGTGAGGACGGTCCCGGCCTAGACTCCAGAGTATATCCGAAGCCGGCTTCGGGGCGCCGGGGACGAGTTTCCCGGCTTCCAGGCTTGGTTTTTACGTTTACGTTTACGTTTTTACTTTTACGTTTTTACGCGTAAAAACGTAAATTTGCAAAAGGTCCTATTTTTACGGCTATTTTTACGTTTTTACGGCTCCCTGAGACACCCAGGTTACACGAGGAAAGTTGCTTACAATGATCAGTCATTCGCCATCTACAGCGCCGGCAACACAATGTCCAACTTGCCCTTGGCAAGGGCGATGATGGTGTTTAACATAGACTCGTTTTGTGCCCCTTCCACGGCGTCTGGCTGCCAGTCTCCGGACTCCGCAAGTCTGCATGTACTGTCCTTATGTATACCGGGCAGTTTTTACGTTGTATTTACGTATTTTTACGCATTTTTACGCGTAAAAACGTAAAAACTGTTTTTACACGTAAAAACGTAAATACGATCAGTTTTTACGGCGTAAAAACCAAGCCTGCCGGCTTCGACGCCGTTACTGCCTGGTCTGCGTGGTGCGAGTAGTCAACGAGGATGCATGCCCCTGAGGCGGCCGATTTGAAGAATGGTTGCCTCCCTACTGCCGGACAGAATTGCCCTCCAAGACGTTTTCAGACAACTCAGCGTGGCCTTGGGATGGGTGGTGTGTTGCTGGTGGACTTTCTGATGCATGGTTTCCAGGAATTCAGAATGATTGAAATCGAAGTAAAAAAGGCAGAAATGTTGGCCGGGAGGAAAACGTGGACTGGTGAGCAGCTCCGGGCGGTCGGCGCAGAGCCCGTTCAAGGGTTGGCAGCATGGATGACGATCGTGGCACCACGTACCCTTGAGGGGAGAGTTGAGGACCAAGCTGTTTTCCCAATATTGGGAATTAATTGGACATTAACGTCTGATTGATTTCAATAGTGGTAGAACTGATCCTAATCATTTTTAGTGAAGATTGGTGGACACGCATCGAGAAATTGATATTCAGAGTGATGGCGCGTTGCAGACGATAGAGTCCCACGGGCTTTATGCTGAACAACTATCAGAAGATGTCATGCAGCCAACTGGACAGGTCACATCTGACACCACAAATGGCCAGGTGCACCTGCGCGAGTTGGCAGTTGAAGTGATAGCACATTGGATAATGGTTAAGCCTCTCTTTGCACGACCATGAAGACTGAACAGAAACTAGAACGAATCCAATAGAATCACACCCTTGCAGGTCCAGCTTGGAATGGAGGCACACAGAGAATGCCGTTCCCAGCGTTGTCCTGACGTCGTCTTTTTCGATTTTCTTCACGGAGCCCACGTGGCCATCTTTCCTTCGCCGTAAGGCAGAATGGCAGGGCAGAGTCCGCACCAGCCACAAGAACCAACAGTCCCCCCAATTTCTCATTAGCGGCCCTTGGCAAACGGATACTGGCGCCGGTGCGACATTGCACAGGGCGCAATTAAGAGGTCCCTGGCTGTCTCAAGGAAACGCCCCAACAGCGGTTATCTTGGTGCGACCTGTTGCCAGCTAGCGCCTGTGCGCCTGTGGGTGGCTGCGCTGTTCATTTTCCTGCCTTCTCGTTCACTCCGCCATGACCCGTCCCCGGCCCACCTCCCCGTCGCTGTTGCTCAACGCCGCTGCACGGAGGATGCTGCCACGTCGCGGCCCCAACGTCTGCGACATTTGCGGCCGCAGCTTATCGGCACGGACGTCAGTCGCCTTGGACCCAAACGGCAGTGCCGGTTCGCCGGCCAGCACTGCCGGCCGATCAGCGAGGAACATCCCCCAAGCTGGACAATCGAAAATGCCCAAGCCAGCCGACCTCTAACGCCAGTCGTACCCTCATTCCCCGCGACTGTCTCAGAAGCGACGCCAGTCTCAGTCAGCAAGCCACATCCGAGGCGCCAGTCTCACAGCGTCAAAGGCCACGCGTCCGCGCCAAGTTGAGATACGGCTTCTGTGCGCCGAAGGAGCTGCCTGTTCCCTGCAACAGGCCGCGTGCAAAGCTACGGACGCTCAAAGCCTCGCTGTGGGGACAACAGAGACCCCTGGCTCGCCTGGACGACCCCCGCCATCGACCCCCCCTTTGCGCGGCTACCCCGGAGCGCGTCCCCACCGGCAACGCCTTTGCGCCGCCGCGCGTACGCCGCCCCAAACCTGGCGACAATCGAAAATGAGTAAGGGGCCAATGCACCCACACGTGATCCTGGCATATGCCCAGGCCTCCACTCGTTGGCATGACGTTTGCTGTCAAAGGGGCACCTTTGGCAAGTCAGTCAGACCAAGCGGTGGTGGTCATGAAGTCAATGGTGCGGACGGGTTTAACCCGCGCCTCTTGTGTTCCCCTCCGTGTCGAACACGGAGGAAGCCTGCCGGCAGCCCAGCCGCCACCCAGGGCAACGCACCAATGGCCACCGGCCGCATACTGCTGGTCTCCCTGCTGTGGACGCTTTGCGCGGCAGGCAAGTGACCGCTTGCCTACCACCGGTCGTGACCTGCGTCGACAGAGAGGGTCTTAGTGCGCCTACCAGCGAGGGCTCGGCCTCGCGCACGTGTTCTCGCCCTGAACCGACCAGGTCGAATATAGGATCCGCGATCCGCGAGCATCTTTCCAGGACGCAAGAACAGATGCGTGTTTCAGGTAATCTCGGATGGGGATGCCGCCCCTCATCCGATCGCCGTTTCGGGCAGCCTCCAGCAGCCTTTGCTGTCCCGCCGGTCGGCGCCCTGTGGATCGGCGTTATCAACATGAGAAGCGACTCACCTCAGTCGCGGATTCCCTGCGGATTGTTGCACTGGGACAGGTCAGAAACAGAGTGGCGCCAGGGGCCGCGGATCATGGTCCGCTGCCATTCACAGAACTGTGAAATTGCAGGATTGCAATTGCACATTTGGAAATAGTCGAATCCTTGTACTGGCACGGAAAGGCAAAAGATTCCCGTTGTGCTGCAGGTATAAATGTGCCTGTACAGATAGATGAGGCGACTATCAGATGAAGCAACTTATTCCAGCACCCTGCACTCACGTCAACCAATTCCGAGACGTCACCATGGCTACATGGCTGAACGTGTGCAGATAGCTGTATATTTGCTTTGGAAGATCTGTATGGCTTTTCTGTTGCCTGTGTCCGATATTCGCAACACAGGGATGTTTCCATTCTATGCACACGAGTTGATCTACAACGCTGATCAATCTATCTCATGTCCATCCCTCGTAGCCGAACAATGCGAAGTTCTCATCCTAGCGCAGGGACGAAATGCAATCTTTGACTGCTCCATCCTGTCCTCCTTTTGCCATGACCACTGGGGCAGAACGGCCCAAATGCGGATAGATGCGGGCTTCAAGGGGCACTTCCATTTGTCAGCCATCGATCCACCCTGGAAACTTTCCACACTATATAGTCTTGCGTGCATGCCGTTCTTCCCCGTCTAGCCTCATCTAAATTCCGGGCTTTGAACCGTCTCCTCTTGTTCACGCAGCTGCTTTTCCACCTTTTGACAGCATTAACAGAAAATGCGTGGTTAGCGCTGTTAAACACAGGTTTTACGCGTTTTCATGCGCAGAATTCGAGGTCTTCACTCCAATTCGCCAAGAGATAGGAAGGCGCTTCTACTACCTGGCATCAGATGCGGATAACAGCGACATAGCCTATGCATCAGACAGTTCGGCAGATGGCAACTGCCTGAGGCGGGTAAACCTTGTGACGGGTGAGTGCTCGTGATTTCAGCGTTGACGACATTTGCATCGTTCTGTACCAGAACTTCTGGTTCAATCGCCCCTCCCTCGTACATCACACATCGCAAAAACAGCAGGCAATCGCCAGGCCAACTTCGAGCATGTGGAGCAGCCAGAGGAATCTAACACGCTCTCTCATTGCAAGATCGTACAATAAGCAATTCGCTGAGGATCAGAAGCAGTGAATACTGCCAGAACATCTGCAAGTAATGTGCCATTCATGGGTACACGTGATACCTTTCCTATGAGTGCCCTTGGCATGTATCCTGGAAAGAATACTGGTCTGTGAACCGGCACATTTGAGTGAGAGTTTACACATTTGCGACTCTTCAAATACCTAATTTCTGCAGCTGAGCGACGCGTGAACCCCCAACCCCACATAGGCCTGACTGCCCTTATAGAATGGTGGAAAAAAGTCCTAAATGAAGCTCGAACCCTGCATTCCTGTCGGGCTTACTTCGAAAGTATTGCACTGCTTGGTTCTGCTTATAAAGTATTACATTGCATAACTCGGTTCTACTTCGGGGCGTGCCACGTTTGCAATGCACGATTCACGGCCTCCACTGTTATCTGGACAAAAAAATGAGTGTGCTGTGCTGGCAGCCGTTACCAGTGGTGTGAGTTGGTTGTTTCGTTGCATTTCTAAAGTAGTAAGGGCCCAACATCAGATCGCAATGAAATGGGGATGTAGACATTTCATTGTGGCCTTTCATCCGGATTAGGCTTCAGTGGCAATACAATTTTGGTGGCGACCGTGACCGCCCACTGGCAATATCAACCTATTCTGAGTGCGGCAATTGCAAAAAGTACCCAGAGTTGTAATAAACAAACATAACGGACACTTTCTTCTCGTGAAGCAAAGCCTAATGCCACTGGTAAGAAATTCGACCGTTTTGCTCAGTGCACAATCGTGTGAAATCGCGTTTAAATCGTGTAAAACCCAGTACTTTGGAGCACGATTTTACACGATTGCTCAAATCGTGTAGTTTTCAGCCCTGTGCAATACACGAAAATGGCCCACCTTACTACCATGAATGACACGATAAAAATCACGGTTTTACACGATTTGAACGGTGTACCAGCGGCAGTCGTGCGCTCTGAAGTTCATCACACATTTGTGATCAATACACGATTGGTACACGATTTCTCCTACTATTTTCATAGGAATAAAGCTGTACACGAACTTGAGCGCCGTGTGCTTTGGCCGATTTTTTACTAGTGTGCAATAATGCCAAATGGAATCATCCTTCGTATAGAGACATCACTGACCAGCGATCACCAATGATCACCATTGATCTCGGTGGGCACCTCCTCAACCAGACAGCCTGTGCAACTGACGGCGCGAATCTGTCTCGGCAGGGGTCGTCACTGTCTTTTTGGGAATATGTGGAAGAGTGCACGAAGAAGGGGTTCTGTTCAACAAGCCGCGAGGACTCTGTCAAGCACCCAATGGTGACCTGATTGTGGTAGACAGCGGCAATGCTGTCCTCAAAAGAGTAACGCAGTCAGGTACGTGGGGGTGCACAGCCTGGTTGTGCGGCGCAGCGCGGTTTCGATCAAAAGAGACTGAACGCCTGCCTTCGTTAACATTCCGCACGATTACGAGCATGCGCAAACCAGTTGATTTGCAATTTCAATAGTGCATTTGAAATATGGCAAAAAAAAATTCTCCTGTAAAAGGATGAACCCTGCACTTGGACGGATGAATGTTAGCCCCAGCTCCCGAAATGTAGGACCTAGGAACCGGCGTCCGCTTCTGGTCCGACCAACCAGGTTTCTGGTGAAGCGTGCCAATCGTTAACCGCGGTCAACCACGTTAAGCCAGGGTTCTGGTTGCCTTTCAAAAAGGTGGGGGGGGGGGGACCGGGGATTGACGGCGGGACAGCCGAGGGGTTCACCCTCGCCGACTTAGCAGGAAGGGACGTCTCCCTGGCGAGCAGCAAAGGTCTACGATGTATGAAGAGCACGGATCTGCAGGATGGCTGTTCGTCATCGGGCTGCGATATTTTTGGTCCAGAGCAAAAGAATTCCCGTCTGGTGCGCTTTGAAGCGGCTGGACACTCGTCCGCGATGTCGCTGTCGGCGACACTCTCGTGGCGATGCAGTTCCGACTGAAATCCACAATCGGGATCTGGCGCCCTGTGCGAAGCGTCGCCCTTTGCCTTTGGCACCCATTCTAGTTCGTAGAAATGTGGGCCAACGTCGGTGCCATGGCCCCGCCAAAAACTGGGCGCCCCTTGCAGACCCAGCCTCGCCAGAACTTGGTCCCTCTGACGGCACGCTTGTCCTCGCGGGCCTGTGTCCCGGTCACAGCCGGCAACACGTGGGCCGGCAGTGGTGGGACCTACATGGGGGGCCTGGGGCCAGCATCCGTTCAAGGGCAGGACTCAATTTTTCACGGGAGGGGTCTAATTCCATGCCTTGAAATACTATCGAACTGCGTGGTATAAAGTACGGCAGCGGATGGTAACTGATGACAGAGCTTTTGCCCATATATCTATTCCATACACAGCGCAGCACGTTCCATTGTTTGAAGGGCTCAGTTCCAGGGCGTATTGGAGTTGCAAGAGCGGTTCTTTGCTTTTTGTGTCGCGATTGTGGTTTGCTTTGACTAATTTGGATGGCGTTCGATCCCCAGCACCATCTGTGCGCGACTGGTTCGCATTGCTTTGGCTGAGGGCCAATGCCTTGTCACCACTTTCTGGAGTGTCCTGAGTCATCCACCTATGCCCAGGTTTTGTGAGCATATTTGCCGGTGTATTCGGTGCTTTTGGCGACAAAGACGGCGCGCCATCAGAGGCTACCTTTGACGACGGTAGCCTGGACATCGTGTGCTTGAAGAACGGCTCGGTCCTACTTTCAGACACGACCCGCGGGATCATACGGTCTATTTCGTGCATCAGCGATTGCCCCTCGCCGTCATCGGGCAAACGAGAGGCCTTTGACGAAGGTGTGAGGGCAACATCCGAACGTCGCTGGTGGAAAATCAGCGAAAACACAAGCGCATCCGGCCTAATGGTCGACGCATTTTGATTCATCTTGCATTGCGTTCATTGCACTGACCCATCAATGCGAGCCTGGCACAATGTCAACATGTGCTTGTTGTCGCTTCAAATTACTCTGGAAGCCGTTGGATTTTCATACTGTTGTTGGGCGAATGTGCTGGCGTGCTACAAAGTTGAACTGTCAAGGCACGACTAGCGGTGTAGATCGGAGGTGCTTGCCCAGTCTATCGCACCCAGCTCAACAATGGAGCAGCTCGCCGCAGCCGCCTATTGCGCTTCTTGCGCTACAGACGGGCAATTGGGCATCTTCATCACTTGCTTCTCGGTCGTTGCATCTGTCTAAATACATGACACAGAACGGCCTTTGCACCCATGAGACGGTCTTCATGTTCATCACGTAGCCTGAGTGGTGGTGCTGTCAGAGTAGATACCACGTCCAGTACCTGAAGATTCAGCTGTATGATTTGACTATGCATGCGTTGTGAAATTGCCCATCCACGCAGGGCTCGTTCGTGATCCTACAGACATGGAAGCGTCTCCTACCCAAGTCTCCTGCCAGGAGGCGACTCTTGAATGCTCTGACTTTTGTGATCACCTGGCAGGCTGCCACAACAACTGCACTGGCTCCTGGCTGGTGACGGCGGCAATAGTGGTCGCAATTTCAGCGGGCGTCGCCTATTTCAAGATAGACTGCGCAAAGTACTTGGGGCGCAAGCTCCAAAAGGCAAAAGACCGCTACAGTGGCATCACTCCCCAGGTAAGAGTGCCCTGGCTTGGTCCATGGGTCTTCACCTATGTCATCATTGATTGCTGCAGCAGTTGCTTACTGTTCAGCTCAAATGGGTGCATGCTGGACCCTGATCACATCGAGTCTGTTGTGCAAAGATTGCTTACTGTAACTCGAGATGTGGACACATCCAATAAAGGCGAGTCAAAAGGCGCCTTGAGCAGGCAGTATGAGCGTAAGATCCCCAACTACTCAAATGTTCAATCCGCTCTTCAATCCCTGTTCAGCTGGATACCACCACTTGTCGCCAATGCCATGCATCTTGAAACTCACCTGAAAACGTCACGCAATAAGATCCTTGCAATCAAGCCAGTGCAAAAGGTCCAATATTCGAAAAATACGAGGATCAGTACATTTGCCCTCTGCTTCTTTCACCGATGTCATCTCCCATTTCTGCCAACGCTGCCTCTTCCGATCCGCAGAGTCCTGCGGATCCGTACTTCCTGCCGAGCGGCAAGGCGCGCGGAGTCGTGGAGGACGCTGACGTGACTGCCCCCCTTGTGGAGCCGGCCGGCTCCATCGCTTCTGAGGACACAGAGGCGTCTGGGGCTTCCATCGGGAGGACGATCCCGGCCAAGCCAGGGGACAACGGTCGCAGCCTCCAGGGCATCCCCGAACATGGGGACGAGTTTCCTGGCTTCAAAGACATTGTCGCCTGGAGTTCTGGCCAGCCACCACGAGGGGAGCATGGCCCTGAGACGGCTGATTTGGAGAAAGGCATCCGCCCTGCTGCTAGACAGTGGTAAAGAATGGCACTCCAAGCCGCTGTCCAGACTGCACAACGTGGCCTTTGCTGTTGGTGCACTTTTGGATGCATGACTTCCAGGAATTGGTCATTATTGACATGTGAGTTAGAGTGTGCGACAGTGATGACGGTGAGGAAAATAGGCACTGGCAGGCAATCTTAGGGGGGAATGGTCCGGAGCCCATGCAGAGTTGGTTGACATGGATGATCAATGCGGCACTCAGTGGCCTTGTGCCGAGACGTGAGGACGAAAGTTGTTTTGCCTAATAGACTCGATTGGCATGAAACTCATTCTATCGCATTTTACTCCACATGGGCGGGGACACCTTGACCAGTTGTCATTCAGAGTGATGGCGCATTGCAGCAGACAGAGTGGTACGCCTTTCATTTAGGACAACTGCGAAAGATATCGCACAACACAACTGACTGGGTGTGTCACATCTGACAATGCTGATGGCCACGTGTACCTGGGCCAGTTGGCACCTGGAGCGATGGCATGTTGAACAGTGGTAAAGCCATTCCTCCCTGCACGACCATCGATATTGAGATACAACAGAAAAATTAAACGAATCAAATAACATCACGCCCTTGCAGGTCCAGCTCGGGGTGGCCGACACACAAACAGTACCGTCCCCAGTGTCCTGGCTTCGGCTTTGTCCATGTTCCCGCTGTCCACAACGTCCACGCAGCCGTCGTCCTTTGCCACAAGGCAGTACGCTTCGTCCTCTGGCAGGGCAGAGTCCGCATCGGCAACAAGAATCCCTGGCCCCTTCAATTTCCGGATTTCTTCTTCAGACTGCAGCACAGAGCAGGGGTGAACTGAATTTGATGTTCAGGCCTATTAGAACTGAAGATTAAGCCTGAAGCATGAGTCTAGCTCGAAGCTTGAATCTAAATGGAGCTCGAGTGATATTGATGGCCGGTGCAGCAACCGTGCATATGATCTTTGACACATTAGGTAGCCGTCACCCTGCAGTAAACCCTTGCCCTCTTCGCACCCAAACCTCACATCATGTACCCCAAACAATGATAGAAATAGAAACCGACTGACCCCTGGCGCTTCATCCACTGGAGCCACTTGTCCACAGCCTCCGACACAACTTTTTCTAGAGCCATGCTCTGAACACATCATAATGAAGACCACCCAAGCCATGGGAAACTGACAACAGAGGAACAGAGACTTCTGGCCAGCTCTTTCACACCACGGAAAGAGACCAAAAGTGCTCACAAAAAGGGGAAGATTGTAGGGATAATATGGCATGTTTACATCTTTCCTCAGGAACCACTGGACAGCAGATGCCACGAGCCCACCGCGCATGCAGAGAGCATAACAGCGCAATGCACAAAGACAGAGCATAAGGAAGCAGCATCAGAGAAATGACCCTGGGAGCCTCTTTGGAGCGTGCTACTGTCGCTAGGGGACCCCAATCAACCTTGGCACTCGTTGATGCGATGAGGAATGGCATTTGCGAGCAGTCAGGAATCTCTACAGCGACGGGCCTCGACGCCTCAACCAACACCTTCCATTGTGGCAGAGCCTGCAAATCCATATGATGATTCAACATAAATTCCAACATCACAAGATTGGCACGACAGTTTGCTTTGTTTTGTTTTAGGCAAGTACAAGAATTCGCACAAACTAAATCAACACACATGACCTTCCCAAAAAATTTTAGGTACAGGACTATCACATCTTTGCAAATGTAGGGGCCACTGGGTGCAGATTTTCTAGTACTTGCACAATACTCCGTGTTGCATAATGTTTCCATCGACTCAAAAGACCAAGACACCATCTTCAAGAAAATGAGAAAAGAGCAGCTCTAAAGTCTTGCCCAGCAGGTGCTTGTCCAATGTATAACGTGTTGCCCTTTCCCTGACATACAATCTCCACACACACGGGACTTTCTCTTGTCTTATCAGAACAGCCACAACAACAATAGTCTTAACGCCAGATGCTGCTGAATATGGAAAGTACATGAGCAATACTCCTACCGCAAGTTCGTAGTCCTTATGCACTTAGGGGAAGAACGTCTTAAAAAGCAATCAATTGCTGTTGTGAGTGAACAGGCAGCAATCATCTGCCACCGAACAGCACAATGAAAGAGGTGTTCTGCTGTCCTCCACTCACCACCCAGCTTTGGGTGCCCTGGCCAGATGTTGTGAACACCCCAAACACACCCCTCTTATTGCATTTTGGAGCATCCGAGACGTCTTTCGCCAGGGCCTGCAGCACAGAACACTACAATCAACAATCCCGTGTGACCTCGTTTTGAGGTCGTTTCAAGCGCGTCACATCTTTTCATTTGGGTTTCAGATGGACAACTCTGAGCTATTTCGAAGATGGCACCACGCATCATACACAGAATAGGACTTGCTGGCAAAGAACAGAGTCCCGATGTTCTCCAAAATGGATGCTCATGTAGCTTAGAATTGTGAAAACACAATAGTGCAGCATGAACATGTGTTCCCTGTGGAGTCCATGGGGTTGCAGAATGTTCCTGACCTGTTCGATGGTGCCAACCACTGGGACAGGCATGACTCGCAGCTCGTCCTCTGTCATGCGCAACATGGCAAGCCTGGCAGTCTGTGGCCTTGCGACACCATTCTCTGTGAGCTCATCAATCAAGTCTTCCTGAGCATTGGGAACACAGCCCAGTCAGCAGCCAGCAAGACAGCCATGGTGTTGAGCAAATCCAGGAGCAACCCACGCTCAATTCAAAAGTTCCGCACCAACTGGGGCATTTGTTTTCCTGCCCCACCTGCCATTCACTTTATGTTCTCCCTTTCGTGTGCACTGTCTTTATTGCATTGTGCAAGAAATGGTTAATTCCTATTTGCGAGATTCACTATGGGTCCATCTCTACAATACCCTTCGACATACAACACTACACAAACACCTCTAGCAACATGACGTCTCAATGTCTGACATGAGTAGTTTGTCCCAGAACGACCTGTGTGTCTGTGACTGTTCTGCCATAACAGTGTCAACTACTGTGTGGTCTCTGATCGATTGTGTTCTTATGGGCCAATAAGCCGCAGGAAACACGCATCGCAACACAATAGCACAGAGAAGGTGGGTTTCTGTTGCCAACAGGACTTCGCCTTGATGGGGGTGGTGGAGGCTCCTGAATCGCCGTGAGACCCGAGCTGCCAGGCACATCGACAAGATTCTAGCACACTAACGACACATATTATTGTGGAGGTGGAAACTAACCAGCCATAGCAGCCCACAGGGATTGTATTGCCAATTCCCCGGAAAATTTGCCTTCTTGGTGAGTAGGTGAGGACTGTGCATCATGACTGCTGGTGCCAACATCGTGCTAAATTGCATACTCTAGAGTCATTCCCAACCTATGCTGACAAGATCAGCTGGGCCTCTTTTCAGCACTTCCCAGGCTTCAGGACCAAAGGAAAGTTCTAAGGACACCTTCAGGACAGTCAGCCCGTGTCACCATGGAGCGTGCAATGACTACACACTGTTCATACCTTGGAGTTTCTACAGTACACCTGCCAGCACCCATGGCTGGCAGTTCCCATCCACCACTGGCTGCAAGACGTAACTTAAAATTCGAACAACAAGAGTAACATTTCCCTGCTCCCCAACCCCACCCAGCCAGTATTCATATTAATGCAGCACCTCCAGGAGAGATCACCAGCAAAAGAATACTGTGAAGCCGACTGGGCAAAATGCCAAGGCCAAAACACTAAGCAGTGTGCCACGTATTCAAATTGTCTAAGGGTATACCAGTACAGCAACAGTATCAGTCCATATGTATCAGTGCATGCAGCCTCCAAATGAGCACACACAAGGCTCTGGACTTATTTCCACAATAGGGAAGACAAGATTTTGACTTTAACATGCTTAGCGTCAAATGGATGCCTAGCTCAGACCCCCTTCCCTCTCCTAGTGTCAATCCATATTTTCACACATCTTGCAATACATGGTTGTTAAGTGCCGCAACACCGTTGTACTTGTGTTCATATGCACTCACATGCACACACCAGTAAGATAAGTAGGTGCGGAATGGTGTACGTTTCCCATTCTCAACATTTCTTGACACGAACGGGCTGCATGAATGTGAATTCCACACAGAAACACCTGGTACAACAATTCTTAGGGAAAAATGGGCGGCATGATGACCAATCCATGTGCCCTTCACTTGTCAACGAATCACAACTTCAAAAATCTCAACTTCCCTTGACAATGTGCAGGAGCCACCAAATCCATGCTCAGCAGCAGCAGGGTGCGATCCATTCAATGCCTTCCGCTTCACAAACACTCTTTGTCTTTCTTGACAATTGTGAATGGGCCACATTTGCACACTGTACGAGTTAAGCCCCTACTACTGTATGGTACAAATGCAAAAAAAGTAAGCGATCGTTGCCAGCTTCACAGCCCAGGGATACTTCGGGCTGACGCAGCAGCCACAATGCTGTTCATCAATAGTCTTGTGTCCTCACCATTCTTTCACGAGCAGCATCTGTCACTGCCACTTCGATACCCCTCTGTGCAAGTTCTTGCTGCTCATCAGCAAGCCTGGACTCCAAGACCTGCAGTCCAGAGAGCCCATGCCATCAGAGTCTGTGCGATTCAGTCAAATCAGAATAGCGCAATGCATGTCTACCAGGCTGAAAATTTTCAGCGATTCAGTCAAATCAGAATAGCGCAATGCGTGTCTACCAGGCTGAAAATTTTCAGCAACTGGCGGCAGGCCCACACAGAATTGCTGCATGCTGCGTCATGCGCTGCTGGCAGCACTTGCAAATTTCAAAACGTCCACGTTGGCCACCTAAATATGGGAGTTCCAAAGATGTAAATTCCATGCAGAGGACCAGCCCTACAGGGCACCACACAAATGCAATGAATCCAACATGAAGCACTTTGCACTGAATAACATGATCTGTTGCCATTGAGTGGTAGCGCAGCAGTTTCAGCTATGTTCATGGACTCTGTAAATGTTCACAGTGTATCAATTGTGAGACAACATACTTTTTATATTT